CAGGCTCAGTTTTATTGGGTCCAGAGGGGATCGGTTCCAACCTCACGTGAAGGTTAAACCAAAGAGATGTGACCAGATGTCCAATCACAACAAAAAATGCACGCTTTCCTTTCTTTTTCTTTTCTTTTTTTTAATGGTTTGGCTCAAAATGATCTCGTTTTGGCCAAATAATTTGAAAGAAAAAGAGTTATATTCTTTCTCCTTCTGTTTTGCAGAAGGTGCTCGGCAGCCATTGTTGCTTTTCTCCTCTACCACAACCAAGATTTGGGTGGTCCTTGGAGGTTTTCATAGCCACTTTTCTGAGCCCTTAGGTGGTTCTAGGACCACATTGGTCCCTTAAGGCCATCTCCAACCAAAGGGTCCAGATGGCAAAAAATAGTCCGAAAACTGTCTCCAACCGAGAGCTTGGCCAAAAGGCTCGTGGGTCCCACTGGACAAAAAAGGACCAAAGGGCCAAAAGACCAACCGACTAGCCTAAATGAGCCAGCCAGCCCGCTGGCTAGCCCAATTTCAATTTTTTTTTTTTTTTATTTCTAATTTTTTCCTAAACCATTTCTCACATATTTTTCACTATTCTATACTATCTTACCTCATTTTATTTCAATTCTTCACATTCCATACTATAGCCTTTTGGCCCTCGGTTAGAGATGGTTTTTTATGACAGGGCTAAAACGAGCCCTATGGCCCTTTGGCCCTCGGTTAGAGATGGTAAGAAATATGGTCATGTACTGTTCATTAAAATATTAATTTCTTGGAGGGCCAGATGACTATGGCCCTTTGGCCCTCGGTTAGAGATGGTAAGAAATATGGTCATGTACTGTTCATTAAAATATTAATTTCTTGAAGGGCCAGATGACTAAAATAAGCCATCTAGCCAGCCTTCAGTTGGAGATGGCCTAATAGATCCGCCTTTACATGAGTGTTATCATCCATGTTGATTAGACGTGAGTCTTCTATGTTTGGGAAATTGCCTTTGTATTTATGATTAAGGTTATAATTGTGGAGTTATAGTGAGTATTTTGATATGTTGACCTCTTGTTTCTTTTCCATTGATCATTCTTTGGTTCTTTCACGGTAAAATTTGTTCTGAAATCAACGTTTGATATGTATATCAAACGTATATGTAAGTTCTTGAGCGTTCTTAATAAAAAAAAATTTCAACTAAAAAAAAAAATCCAAACTCACACGTTAAATTATGAATAACTAATAATTGTATCAAGCTAAGCTGGTGAGGCTCGCATCACGTAAACCCCATCTACAATAATTCAACATATCTGCAAACACATGGGCATAAGCATTTCCAACATTTGAAGCAACTTATTTCTAATACATCGTTTTCAACATATAATTATCCATGATCCCATCGTACTATAAATAATTTAATAATTCATGACAATTGTAATCAACTAATTAATTGTTAATTTTTATTATGCATTACGCGTCACGTCCACATAATCATATGGTTATCTTTCTATGACAATTCATGCAAACAGACATATGAATTAGTTACTCACAAAAGAGACTACAACTTTACAATCCACATAATCATCTGGTTCGCTTTCTTCCAATGTGAAAAATCACAATAGACGTGAAATTTCATCAAATTTTCACAGAACTTTACATGCTTCTGCTATTTTTGGGTACTTCACTTCGGATCTGGATTCTCTCCCCTCTTCTTCCCTTCCCCTTCTATTTGAACTCTCAAGATTAAGCCACATCATCATCTTGTTTTATCTTTTCTGTAAAGAGAGAAAGAAGAAGAGGAATCAGAGAGAAGAGGGGAAAAGGGAGGAGAGAGAATTCAAATCTTCTCAATGTTCAGTGGTGGACGTATTAAAGAACTAGGGTGGTCCCGGTAGTCCGAATAAGTGGTTGTGAAGACTTCCGAGGACCACCCAAATTTGGATAGGTTCTGCAAATGATTAACGAAGGAGAATAAGACTATTTTGGTTTTTTAAGAGTTGACCAAAACGACGTCGTTTTGAGTCAAGTCATTTAAAACAAAATAATTAAAAATAAGTCTTCTTATTAGGCCACATGAGGGAGACCATTTTTAATTAAAAAATTAATAAAGACCACCTTTATTTGGTACTTTTATATTAGGATCACTCGATGTTAGAATCCTAAATCCTCTATTGTCAATGTTCTCGTCACTTTTAAATTGATAGGACGCGAGTGTAGATAGAGAGATGGGAAACAGCCAACAACAAATAGGTAAATTGCTAACAAATAGCTAGGGTGTCATGTTAAGTGATTCCCTTGTTGGATTTAGTGTTTAAACATGTTCATAGTTCAATAATTAGGTTAAGCCAGCTTAATCTTCTATTAGTGAGCTAGTTTGCAATTAATTTATCAGTACTTTAACTTTTCTACGTTCTGGATTAATGTACATGCAAAGGTTAAGTGGGAGAAAGCAATAATAGAGTGCTAAACGCTTACAAATTGGTTATATATCTGGGTGTTTATGTATACTACGATTCATGAAAGTGATTTTCGCACATTTTTCTTTTGTGATGCATCTCATCTTCTTTTTTTTTTTCCCCTAAGTATTTTGAATTAAACATGGGGACCAGTGCACAAGGAAAATACGACAATGTAAATTCACTGTACCTACAAATAATTGTACTCTTTCAACAGAAGAATATTTATTTTTTTGTCTTTTATACTAAATTTAGAATGTGATTATTGTGATTTATGATATCCCCCTATTCTTGATTTGGCTTAGAGTTTATGTTAACTTATAACCTTTATGATAAGGGGAGACCTTATGAGTATCATTTACATTATCTGGTGGGAAATGAAAGCATTGATATAATAAAAATATTGATACTACAAATAAAGTTGAGGTTTCATTATAAAATCAATTGGTAATATTAAAAGTAACTCAAATATATAAGCACATGCGAAGTCTCTTATTTCCCCAATGTGGGTTTGATACTCTTAACACTTCCTCTCACGTGTATTGAATTTTCAAGTCTAGCACCTAGATAACACAAATCGAGTAACGTTGAGCACGTGTGGCCCTTGAGCTTCATAGCCGAGACAACTAGCTCTGGTACAATGAAAAAAGTTAAGGTTTTACTATAAAACTAATTGGTAATATAAGGAGTAACTCAACTTACTTATAAGCTCAATTAAAATCTCTCATTCTATCAATGTGAGATTTATTCTTAATAGGTTTACTCTGCCGCACATAGTGTGTCATGAATAGTGTTTTACATTTGAGTCAAAATGTGGGATAAATCAGACCTAACCAATTAAAGGTGCAGTTGGAGCAGTGAGATTTGAGCTCCTTGGTCCACTCTCATTTCTTTCACATGCAAATTTTCATTCGTGCATGCACGGACCACTTTGCTGTTTTTTTAACGTTTTCATGTTGCAAGTGTTTCACATGTAATCAGTGAAGGATATGATCAAAAGTTAATTAAATTAATCTTTTCGATTAGATGGGATGATCCTGTATGTAATGTTTTCAATACCAATCTCGACAGATGGACAAAGGCGGATTTGGATCCTCTTCTGAATCCAAGGTGAGGATCCTCCTGATCAAAAAGTGTGGGTCGTTAGATGTAATCTTTTCAATTAATCTCGACAGATGGACAAAGGTGGATTTGGATCCTCTCCTGAACCCAAGGTGAGGATCCTTCTGATCAACGAGTGTGGGCCGTTGGGTGAAAATTCAACGGTAATAATTATTATAACTTAAAGAACCTTCTATTTGTAATCGTTGGATTTTCATCCAACAGCCAACACTTATTGATCAGGAAGATCTTCACCTTAGGCTCAGAAGAAGATCCAAATCTGACAAACGCACATGGAATAGTTAAAGTTCAATCACCTTTTCCTTTCTTTCTCAATAAGCCTAAATCCTAACAAAAAGAAACTAAAGTAAAGCATAATCCCAACAACGTCAGCTACTAGGAGATGTGACAAGAAGAAAGCGATTGATTGAAATAAATTGGATAAACAGAACATGATAAACTCAAGTTAATTAACCAGTTCATGAAAGAAAATATGCGAGATTAAGTATTAGGCATTTCACAGTAGTTGGAATAAGTTTGATCGCTATACATAAAAACCAAGCAACCTAAAGTTTGATTCCTTTAACAAAATTGCCAAAATAATGCGAGCATGCAAAAATTGAGTTATTTGTATTATTTGTGGAAAGCCTCTACTTTTCGTCGTTCCCACTCTCCTATCAATTATTTACATTTGTCTTAAATAATTGGAGAGATGTTTTACTGTGCCGAGAATATGGTCTGGCATATCAAGTATAACATACTTGAAAAGAAAAAGTTTTCAATATTTAGTGTACCAGATCATGTTTCTAGTACACTGAAAAACTTCTCAAATAATTGATCATTCATTGTATGAAAATTACCCTCATAAAACTCAAGAATTGGGATCATATTGTTAAGGCCACTTGTTACTTATTACCACGACTGAATGAAGAAGTAAAAGCAATTTTTTTATAAATGAGAACAATTAACAGCAAGCCACGTTCGTTAGATTAGATTGAAATATTTGTATACCATATAATTTATATTACTATTAGATTGGAATATTCGTCTTTGAGAACTAGAAAGGCATATTTTATACTTTCACAGTAAAAAAAAAAAAAAAAAAAAAAGAATGTTCTTATGGATCTAATTTATACCTTCTTGGTAGTTCGCGCTACACGGCAATTTCAATGCAAGAAAATTATATCAAAACTCTGCGTAAAGCAGGGCGTTTACACTCGCCGTCGGATAAACGCGCGACTAGTGTCAGATTCAAATCCTCGGTCAGCAAATCACGTATCAGCGGTCAACGATTAGGGAACACCGTACGCAAGTTACACCATATTAAAGAAAACACGAGGAAACCGCTTCCGCGAAGAAACCTTGACACGTGGGAGTTTCCATCAAAAAAAAAAAAAAACCTGGACACGTGGGTGGTCGCAATTGGTTTCCACGTCGGACACCTGGACATGTGAACCCCAACCACTTTAAATAGCTCGAACAATTGCAATCGACAGAGCGATCCTGTTTCGAAAAAATTACAATTGTTTTTTCCGAACTAAAAATCCATTTTGGAACTTCGTCTGTTTCGAATCCAAACTACGCCGTTGAGATTTTGTCGGGAAATCGTTTCGGAGCTCGATTTAGGCCCCGAATGCGAGGGGAGTAATTGGGATTATCTTTTTGTAGTCTCCGAAAAATTCGGGAGCCATGCCGGAGATCGAGGTCGTTGCCGATAACAGCTACGGCTCCAGCGCCGGCGCGGTCAACCTATTCGGGAAGTACGAGGTCGGGAGGCTTCTGGGCTGCGGGGCTTTCGCGAAGGTGTACCACGCTCGGAATGTCCACACGGGGCAGAGCGTGGCGATCAAGGCCGTCAGCAAGCAGAAGGTCGTGAAGGACGGGTTCACGGCTCACGTTAAGCGGGAGATCTCTATCATGCGCCGGCTGCGCCATCCGCATATCGTGAAGCTGTTCGAGGTTTTAGCGACGAAGACCAAGATCTATTTCATCATGGAGTTCGCAAAAGGCGGAGAGCTCTTTGCAAAGATCTCGAAGGGCCGGTTCAGCGAGGATCTCAGCCGTCGGTACTTCCAGCAGCTGATCTCCGCCGTCGGATACTGCCACTCGCGGGGAGTGTTCCACCGTGATTTGAAACCTGAGAATCTGCTCCTCGACGAGAACTGGAATTTGAAAGTCTCGGACTTCGGGCTCAGCGCCGTGACGGAGCAGGTGCGGCCCGACGGTCTCCTCTACACGCTTTGCGGGACTCCTGCGTACGTGGCGCCGGAGATTCTCGAGAAGAAGGGGTACGACGGCGCGAAGATCGACATCTGGTCGTGCGGCATCGTTTTGTTCGTGCTTAACGCCGGTTACCTGCCGTTTAACGACCCGAATCTCATGGTGATGTACCGGAAAATTTACAAGGGAGATTATCGGGTCCCGAAATGGACGTCGCCCGATTTGAAGCGCCTGATATCTCGGCTTCTCGACACGAACTCCGAGACGCGGATAACCGTCGACGAGATTTTGAAGGACCCGTGGTTCGCGAAGGGGTACCAGGAGATTAAATTCCACTTCGAGGACTTTGACTTGAAGGACATGCGGGACGGGGACAGCGACGAGACGTCGTCGTTGAATGCGTTTGATTTGATTTCGTTCTCGTCCGGGTTCGATATATCGGGTTTGTTTAGCAAGTCCGGGATATCGGACTGCGGGGAGCGGTTCGTGTCCGCGGAGACGCCGGAGAGGATAATGGAGAAGGTGGAGGAGGTGGCTAGGGCGGGGGACGTGGCGGTGACGGAGAAGAAGAGCTGGGGGGCGAAACTGGCGGGGCAGAATGGGAATTTTGTTGTAATGATTGGGATTTACCGGTTAACGGAGAAGCTGGTTGTGGTGGAGTTGAAATTAAGGCAAAGGGAAGCTGAATGTGGGCCGCAAATATGGAAAGATAAGCTGAGGCCGCAGCTGAGCTGTTTGATGTACCGACCGGAAGAGCCAGTCGCCGGTGACTGTTAGCACCCAGAAACCAGAAGAAAGCAAGCCTGGGAATATATAATTAATATTTTGAGGTACATTAAAAATTAAATGGTCGAAAAAAAGAGGAACAATATAATATCAGTGCCCGGGTTTTCTTGTATTTTTGTTTTTGCCCGGAATATAATTCAAAATCTCAAAAAGAAACAAAGGAAGTTCCTTATATTCTTCTGTATATATGATTTTTTTTTTTTTTCAATAAATGCAGTGATTAAAAATTATTGATGCAAACGTTATCCGTTCTGGCATTGTTCTCTGGCATGTTCATGATTTCAGTTATCAAATCTATGGTAAGTTGTAGGGAATATCAATAGCCCAAAATGATAAGGACAGAGAAGGTGTTGCACTTTTTGGATGTTTAATATTTAATAATTTTATTCAAAACACTAATATGATTAGGATAATGTAGTTGTAACCGACTATTAATTTCAATTGGTTCAGAAAAGTCTAATAGAAGGATGAATTATTTCAATCGATATAGAATTGAAACAGGGTTCGTATCTTAGATAGTGTACTCATTGTTAAACAAAGATTACTTGTATGTGTTCCACTTCGATTCTAATGGGAGAGTAGGGACGTTCTTTTCTCATTTATGTTCGTGATTTGTTAACTTAATCTTGGTTGTTGGGGTTTATGATTATCTTTACGCAAATTTCTTTTAAAAAATAAAAACTGACAACCGAAAAACCAAATGAACATAAGCTTGTTTGATTCGACATAATATCTTAAGGTGCAATTCTATGTTTTTTTTTTTATTATTTTGTAATTGTTTTTTGTTGCAAGTTCTATGTGGGGAAGGAGATGTCATAATTAACCACTTGATCCATTTTTGCAAAGTGTTTTAAGAGAAAATCCCATTATTACATAGAGTATTGCTTACAGTGGTAGCATGTGAAGTACTTTATCAATCTACCTGAAAGGTACAAGGAACTCAGATATCCTCACGGATTTAACATTATTCATCCATCTACCAATATCTACGAGAGTCCCATCGACTTAGCTCAAAAAGAGTAAATTGGCAAAGTCTTGTTTAACAAACCATGTTATTGCAAGAAGCGAGCAGCTCAAATTATTAAGAACATTCATTTGTACACTTGAAGTTGTATATGACGGTCTCTCTTTTCTCATTATCATTAAATCGAAACATGTTATCCAATTAAATACGGATTGTGAGAGATATATGAATGATTAAGAACATTCATCTGTGTACTCGAAGTCATATTTATGCATGGCCAATTACTTCTGTTTTTAGTATCGCTTGTATCGAAATATCTTATCGTACTAAAAATCCATGTGGGATCGTGGGGAAATATGAATGTGAAGATTGGTCGGTATAGGTTGATAAAAGTTGCAGTTAGTGTCCTATCTTTAACAAGTCAGACTCGAACTTTACTCACACTTCACTCACGTTTTATATACGGGGAAGCTTCCTATATATTCTACGTACCTGCTCTGGCTGCCAGCAGATAATGATACTCCAATAACACACCAGCTCCTCAGAATTATTTTTTCAGATCAGATTTGATTTGATTTTTTTTTTTTTAATTTTTTATCTGAGGTACTGTTTGCTGATAAACGTAACAGCAGAGCAAAGGATATACAATGCGATCAAGAGTGTGAACCCTTTTTATTTTTTTTATTAATTTTCTTTTTGTCACTTCCAAACCGTACGGAGGCAGTTGCAGGGGTGGTGGCCGTTGATGGGGGTTACAGATCCACCATCCACTCATCGATCATGAATAAACAAAGGCAAGAATGGGTCCATATTATACACCGCATAATGAAACTTTCTTAATCAATATTTTTTATGCAACAAATGGTCCACCATGCTGTCATATGCATGCATGATTGCATATTGTTCGACCTTTTGCATCACTATTACGTAGAGATGTCAACTGTTCGGTTTGGGAACGAAAATTCTATGTTCATTCTTATAATCACGAAAATTAATCATATTCATAACCGCCAATTAACCATCGGGTATTATCCATAACCATACCTATCGGATAACGGATTCCTCATCGGTTAACGGTTATACCCATCTTCATCAATACCAAAATTATATTCGTTCAATTAATGCATGATAATTTAATAAATATTAATTTCATCATTAAATATTTGATGTATAAAATGATTTAATGAATGGATCTTATGAAACATGAAAATTAAAGTTAAACATTTATAATGTTGGCTGATATCTCCTATAAGTACCATTGGTCTGGATTCTCATAGATTTTGATTCATATCAAAACTTTTTAACTTGCCCACAAATGCAACTCACATAGTGTAACTTTTGTATTTACAAGGTAATGGATTCAGTGAAATATATATATATATATATATAATACAATTATATTATATATAATTATATATATACACTATTAATTATATATAATTATATTATAAATAATTCGATTTGAATTCGGGGACAGATATGGATTGGGGACTCCTATAACCATATCCAAAACTAAAACCGAATATTATTCACGATTTTTCCCCATATCCAAAATATACTCGAATTGTCATACCCAAATCCAATCCATTTGAACAGTTATCCATGATTATCAATTTTAACGGTTAAAATTATCATCCCTACTATTACGTATATATTTAGATTCTTTAAGCAAAGGGATCTTCAATTTATAAAAAAATATGGGAATTGCATTCTCATAGATTGGATGAATTAATAATGTTGTACCGCTGAGATTGAATAGGTTTTTCTTTTCTTTTCTTTTTTTCTTTCCAATCTTTCTCAAGTCCAATTCAGTCCATCCCAAACCATACATGCGACCACAGCGCAACCATCCCCTCCACCACTTGGACCCCCATATTCGCAGGTGACCACCCCAAGCGCCCAAAATCTTGTAATCCAAAATTTCAATAGGCAGAACCAGAGGATTCTATCCACTTCTTTCTTCTATTGTTTTTCATTTTCCGCTGTAAAGAAGCCTCCTCTTCTTCTCCATCTCCGTCTCTCGACCTCGATTCTAATCACATGAATGATACCTGTGTTCAAGTAATATGCATGTACAAATATATAGTAACACTAAATTTAATATTTGTGTACGCTGTTTAGTAGTATTGCAAGTAAATTTGTAGGCCTTACGTAGTAAACTTGGCTAGCGTGTTTCTTGTGCAATTCAAGTTTGAATATTTTCTTACTAGTAAGATTTTTTTTAATACAAGCGATATTTTATTTTAAATTAATTTAATGTGAGGATTATAATTAGAACTTGGGCATATATGAAGAGAACTCAGGCGCATATGAAGAAGTATATCGACTCTAACCAATATAACTACACTCATTTTTGCTAGCTGAAATTAAATTAAAACATTTTTCAAATCAAAAGAAAGTATAGTTAAAAAAAAAAAAGGAAAATAAATTTGAGATAATAAGGCAAACAAAACCCAAATTCCGTGCTTACTGCAATGCTAACAAGGTTAGGTTTGTACTGTTCTCAACTAAAACCAAAGAAAGAAAATATAATTTCGGCTGAGTCATGTCAATAATTGAGACAAATACAGGACCACCATACCCTACGTGATTTATCCATCACCATTTTATGGACAAAGTTCTTATTTGGATAAATTTAATACGTATCTGACTACAACATAAACTAAATTTACATTACTTTACGTGTTATATTAAGAGTGGACGCTTCAATTGTTATGTCATAATTTTAAAGTATATATTATTAAAAACAAATCGACTAGTTATAATTTAAGTATAATACTGATGACGATGCCATGTGTTTCAGAAACATCAGGAAATCAATTGCGTATGGTAGACCAAGTTCTTTCTAACTTTTAGGATGCGATTTTAAGGTCATTTTTTGTCACATCCCCACCCGAGCCCCCACCACATCCCGGGCTTGACTCTACTGTAGCACGATATTGTCCACTTTGGGCCCCGAACTTGCTTAACTTCGAAATTCCAATAGAACTCCAATCCAATGAGCTCCCAAAAGGCTCGTGCTAGGTAGAGATAAGAATATACATATAAAGCTTACATGATCTACTCCCCTGGACGTTGTGGGATCTTACAATCCACACCCCTTAAAGTATATATTATTAAAAACAAATCGACTAGTTATAATTTAAGTATAATACTGATGACGATGCCATGTGTTTCAGAAACATCAGGAAATCAATTGCGTATGGTAGACCAAGTTCTTTCTAACTTTTAGGATGCGATTTTAAGGTCATTTTTTGTCACATCCCCCCTAGGCCCTCACTACATCTCGGGCTTGACTCCACTGTAGCACGATATTGTCCGCTTTGGGCCCCGAACTCGCTTAACTTCGAAGTTCCGATGGAACCCGAAGCCAATGAGCTCCCAAAAGGCCTCGTGCTAGGTAGAGATGAGAATATACATATAAGGTTTACAGGATCTACTCCTCTGGACGTTGTGGGATCTTACAATCCACCCCTCTTAAAGTATATATTATTAAAAACAAATTGACTAGTTATAATTTAAGTATAATACTGATGACGATGCCATATGTTTCAAAAACATCAGGAAATCAATTGCGTATGGTAGACCAAGTTCTTTCTAACTTTTAGGATGCGATTTTAAGGTCATTTTTTGTCACATCCCTACCCGGGCCCCCACCGCATCCCAGGCTTGACTCTACCGTAGCACGATATTGTCCGCTTTGGGCCTCGAACTCGCTTAACTTCGAAATTCCGATGGAACCCCAATCCAATGAGCTCCCAAAAGACCTCGTGCTAGGTAGAGATGAGAATATACATATAAGGCTTACAGGATCTACTCCCCTGGACGTTCTGGGATCTTACAATCCACCCCCCTTAAAGTATATATTATTAAAAATAAATCGACTAGTTATAATTTAAGTATAATACTGATGACGATGCCATGTGTTTCAGAAACATCAGGAAATCAATTGCGTATGGTAGACCAAGTTCTTTCTAACTTTTAGGATGCGATTTTAAGGTCATTTTTTGTCACATCCCCCCTAGGCCCCCACCACATCCTGGGCTTGACTCCACCGTAGCACGATATTGTCCGCTTTGGGCCCCGAACTCACTTAACTTCGAAGTTCCGATGGAACCCGAAGCCAATGAGTTCCCAAAAGGCCTCGTGCTAGGTAGAGATGAGAATATACATATAAGGTTTATAGGATCTACTCCCCTGGACGTTGTGGGATCTTACAATCCACCCCCTTTAGGGGCCCGATGTCCTAGTCGGCACACTTCCGGGCAGGGATTGGCTTTGATACCAGATTGTCACATCTCGGCCTAGGCCCCCACCATATCCCGAGCTTGACTCCACCGTAGCACGATATTGTCAGCTTTGTGCCCTGACCAGGCCCTCACAGTTTTGTTTCTGGAAACTCACACGAGCAGAACTTCCCAGTGGGTCACCCATCCTGGAAATGCTCTCGCCTGAACTCGCTTAACTTCGGAGTTCCGATGGAACCCGAAGCGAGTGAGCTCCCAAAAGGCCTCTTGCTAGGTAGAGATGAGAATATACATATAAGATTTACATGATCCACTCCCCTGAGCGATGTGGGATCTTACATTTTTTTATGTTGCATGCACTTAATCAGTTAATTGTATAATCTACATTAATTTTTAAACATGTTCATTATTGTTCATCCCTTCACAAGGAGGGAAGAACAATATCTCTCTTTTCTTTTACGCTAGTTATAATTTAAGTATTGTTGGAAATTTTGAGTAGAAATTTTTTTGTCCCACATTGGCCATTCCCAAAAGGTTTCCTCACTTCATAAGGCTTTGTCCCTTATAGAAAGTGATTGGAGTGATAAGCGTTGGAGACTAAAATTGGGCTCACCCTTGAGGTTGGGTTCTAGGGTGTACTAATTAATTGATAATTAATATATAATTAATTATCAAAAGATGGGCCTTGGGGCTTGGGCTATAATAATTAAATTAATTATTTATTTTCGGATTTAATTAATTATTTTTAATTAATTAATTATTTTTTTACCAACAGACTCATCTTTTCAGATGAAGTCTGAAGTGTGAAAGAACGCAGAAAGAAAACACCCCTTTGAGAAGATGTTTCCCAACAGATGCATCCCTTCCTCATACCTGTTGCGAACATGCATAATCATATTATATATACATCCATCTACATGTCATTTAGAACACAAAAAAAAACAATTCTTGTTCTATAATCCAAAACATCCTTACTGAGAGAACCACATAGAAATTATCTAGAAGTTAAGTTTTCCGGTACTGGAATTCTGACTTGATTGTTGAATCCTGGTGAAGCAGACGTTTGTAGAACTACAAGCACTGAGTATGGAAGAAATTTCTGTTTCAAGGACATTGCGGTGTACGCAAGCCTTGATCTTCAATATTTCTGTTCAATATTATTTCGTTGTTCATACTTTGTTAATTTCGTATTCGCATTTATTATTTATTAGCATATGTAATTTTATCACAAATTGTTGACATATATCCAACAAGTATAATAGACCAAGTTCTTTCTAACTTTTAGGATTCTATCCATTTCTTTCTTCTATTGCTTTAAATTAAAAGCTGTAAAGAATCCTCTTCTTCTTCTCCATCTCCGTCTCTCGACCTCGATTCTAATCACATGAATGATACCTGTGTTCAAGTAATATGCATGTACAAATCTGTAGTAACACTAAATTTAATATTTGTGTACGTTGTTTAGTAGTATTGCAAGTAAATTTGTAGGCCTGACGTAGTAAAGTTGGCTAGTGTGTTTCTTGTGCAATTCAAGTTTGAATATTTTCTTACTAGTAAGATTTTTTTTTAATACAAGCGATATTTTATTTTAAATTAATTTAATGTGAGGATTATAATTAGAACTCAGATGCATATGAAGAGAACTAAGGCGCATATGAAGAGGTACATTGACTTTAACTAATATGACTACACTCATTTTTGCTAGTTGAAATTAAATTAAAACATTTTTCAAATCAAAAGAAAGTATAGTTAAAAATAAAAAAAAAGGAAAATAAATTTGAGATAATAATGCAAACAAAACCCAAATTCCGTGATTAATAAAATGCTAATAAGGTTAGGTTTGTATTGTTCTCAACTAAAACCAAAGAAAGAAAAAATAATTTCGGCTGAGTCATGTCAATAATTGAGACAAATACAGGACCACCATACCCTACGTGATTTATCCATCACCCTTTTATGGACAAAGTTCTTATTTGGATAAATTTAATACATATCTGACTACAACATAAACTAAATTTATATTACTTTATGTGTTATATTAAGAGTGGACGCTTCAATTGTTATGTCATAATTTTAAAGTATATATTATTAAAAACAAATCACTAGTTATAATTTAAGTATAACATTGATGACAATGCATGTGTTTCAAAAACATCAGGAAATCAATTGCGTATAGTAGACCAAGTTCTTTCTAACTTTTAGGATGCAATTTTAAGATCAGTTTTTATGTTGCATGCACTTAGTAAGTTAATTGTATAATCTACATTAATTTTTAAACATGTTCATTATTGTTCATCCCTTCACAAGGAGGGAAGAACGATATCTCTCTTTTCTCTTACAACTAGTTATAATTTGGGGTGTGATATCCACACACCCTATTTTATTTCTCACACACCTTTTTAATTTTCGACCGTCGGATTGAATGAATTGAAGAAGATCAACGGACATAAATTATCAAGGGTGTGTGAAAAGTAAAATAGGGTGTGTGGATAGCACACCCCTATAATTTAAGTATAATAGACCAAGTTCTTTCTAACTTTTATGATGCAATTTTAAAGTCATTGTTTATGGTGCCTGTTCTAGAGTGGTGGAGATAAATGTTGTCCTTGTATTACGGCATGGGTTCAAACGCCGTTTACTTTCTAATTTAATATTTAATCTAACAAATCGATCGTTGGACCAAAAAAAAAAAAAAAGAAGTCATTTTTATGATCCATGCACTTAGTTAATTATATGACCTTTATTATTTTTAAACATGTTCGTTATTGTTGATCCCTTCACAAGGAGGGAGTTACGATCTCTCTCTTTTCTCTTACGCTTAAGTCGCCATAAACGTTGTTGAGCTTCTAAGATAACAGAAGATAGGGTGCTACAAAATTAAGGCACCGCGCATGCAACACACGCTCAAAAATGCCGGTTACAGGATAAAAATTTAAGACAATATAACAATGCTTAACCCGGATGCAAAGTAGTCTTAACACCAATCCAGATATAAATCTGATCACTTAGTACTATGATCTGGTGGTATTTCTCTTCACTTGTAAATGAGAGGTCTTAGGTTTGATTCTCGCCAAATGCGAATTTGAACCATATTATTTCTAGCTCAGTGTGAGACTTAACCACTGCCCCGCTTCCTTATTGTAAATAATATCGTTTGCTCAAAAAAAAAAAAAAATCTAGTTTAAATCTTTGATGGCTTATTTGCGGAAATTACAGAGCGGAGATGAAATGGAAAAGTAAGGGGGCGTTTGTTGCATCAGACTATCTCGGACTGGACTAACTTCTAGAACTAAGCTAGAGTGGTTTATAATAGACTAAGCTGGACTGATTTAGTGCAGCGTTTGGTGCAGTGTCAGACTAAGAAGCAAGATAATGAAAAAATAAAAACCAATGATGTATAAAAAATATTAAATGTTATTTGCTTCATTCCAACACCAAAGTAGCAGAACCCCAACCGACAAACAGAGGTACAAAGCTAAATATAAGCAATTCTTGGAAAAAAAAAATTGAGAATCAATGAAACAATTCCAAAAAAAATATAAGAGGTGAATTTGAGCCACTTATCCTTTACACACACAATTCTTATAATCAGATTTCAACTTCTAAATACAAACTAAAACAAAGAAACAAACAAAACAAAACTAGAACGTGTTCTTTCTTGTTCTAGTTTTCCTTACACTCCCATTTCTTGTCCTTTCTTTTTGGGCTCATTTGAAATGGATGACAAAAAAGGAGACACAACCAAGAAGAACCTACAACAACAAATCCTAATTCATATCACTCAACCTGTTATTTCTCTTCAGCTTGGGCTTCTTATTGCAATATTGAGCAAAAAGAATAAACGAATGCAATACTACCAGCCTTTACATAATTACTACTTAGGAACTATACAACAAAATGTGTCGTCCTTCGCTTCCTTGGCCCCGAAGACACATCCTCGTGTAACATCAGTTCCGATTTGCAGCACTCTCAATTCGCTTTCAGAACTCAGAAAATCCATAACTTCCTGCACTCTGCAACATTTTGAGTGTACACGGCAATTGGCTTTCAGTGGTTGCTGGCTGCCTTGTGTTCTGAAGAGAGTTGAGGTAGCTCAGCAATAGATTTCACCTTCTCCCAACGACCAACAATCACCGCTAACAGCTGTTAATAACAGTGGAGCAGCAGCTGCAGCAAGAAAAAGAAAAAAGTTTATCCACGGACAACAGTTGCAAATTTCCTTTCACCAATTGTGGCCTCTAGAAAAACAAGTTCCCAACAGTATTGCAATTTCGAACAATTTTCCTCGGCTGAGAAAAAGAACACTGGTGGACGCAAGTTGATGGTCACACAGCGAGTTCTGCAGTCAACAACGCAATCAAGCATTCAGCAAGCTTCAATTACGAAAAATATATTCCGCATGACATAAACATAAGCTAGATTGTTTAAAAGCTCACAGAAAACGAGACCCGGATATTCTTATGCAATATATAAGAGATGAATCGTGAATCCATTAATCTATGACCAAACTTGCTGCATACTAGTTAAGTAAGTTGAGGTCCAAAATGTTGGGGCAATAGCAGCACACGCATGATGCATTAAGATCAAGACCAGAACACTAAACCAAAGCATCTTTCAAAAGTGACGATACGCCTTTGAAGTACATTGAGCAAAGAACCAAAAATTACTTCCACAATCCACTCCAAGTGCCCAATTTTAATCCAAAATTAATAAAATCTTGATTAACATAATTTTATCAAACCCATTAACACAAACCTGATTAGCAAGTTGGTGGGGGCTGAAGACGGTGGTCGGTGATGGAGCTGGAGCTGCATGGCAAGGCGTTGCTGCCCTTTTTGGAGTTGCAACTTCACAAGTTCGAAATTGAATCAAAATTACCATCACTCAATTTATCAGGCAAGTTGAATTTTGAGAATTTGATAGATAAAAGAATTTAGAGAGTAGAGAGATAAAGGGATGGGAAAGAGAGATAGGAAGGGAAGCGTAACTGAGATGGTGGGAGTTCGAATTTGACCGGTGCCTGGAGGTGCAGTTGGAGCCGCTAACGGTGAGGCCCTGAGCAAACAGACAGATGACAATATTTCACTCGCAGTGCTAATCCGCCCACTTGAGTAGGCCTTTGTTAGCGAACGCAGAGTACGCGGCTGGAAACCGACAAGGGAGCTGAAGACGATCGAGAGGGCAAAGGTGCGACGAGGAAGGAGAAGGCGAGGAAGAAGAAGACGAGGGAGGAGAAGGCGCGAAAGACAAGGGACTGGACTAATCAGTCCAGTGAGGGCTAGTGAAGGGAACAAACACATCCTAATGTGCGACATTTGTGAATATACAACTCTTTTGAACAAACTATGTGTCCTTTGGTGAATTATGTTGAACTTTGCCTCCAACATTTGTGTCATCATCGAGATTTTAAGTCTAGGTATTAGTAGAGGTGGCAAATCAATCCATTGAGTTGTTAATGGGTATCCATTAAGACCCATTTAGTTTAATTTCATCTTAGAACAACATCATCATCATTACTAATCTCACCCTTATATAATGATGATATTAAATTAAACGAGGCCTTAACGGATACCCTATTAACAACCCAGTGGGTTGATTTGCCACTTCTAGGTATTAGGATGTGGCAAATGGTTTAGACAAATGCTGTAAAATAATCATACATATATATATACATATAAGAGTGCTCAAGTGCTAACTAGTTAATATTTCAGCACGATGCTAACTACTTGTTTAACTCATTAACCAATATCAATTATAATCTGAACCACTCATTTTTTAGGTTATCACTAAAAGATCGTTCATGCAAAAATTCACTAAAACTAGACGTCGTTTATTTCTCATTGTGACATGACAAATAGACGAGGACAGAGTTCTCGATAAACCATGAAATGTTCACAAAAAGAATTAAAGAGCTAAATGATTTCATATTCGAATGAAGTTTCTAGTAATGATATCCAAAATTTGAACAGTTTGGATCTTGAGATTAAATTGTGGAGTGAACTCAAACGAGTTGTTAGCCTCGTACTAGTTGGCTTAAGGCTTGAGATCTCCTCTCTTTGACATATATTGACATGTCCTTTTATCAGTACCTAGTAAAAGCTGTTGTTGCAAATCAAATATATGGTTGGCCTCATCCCTTTCTCCTGGCTCTTGTCCATTGAAGATGCTTAATCGGCAATGTCCATTTCCATGCCTTTTGGTTGGTTTGGATAATTCTTTATTTTTTGTTTGCAATATTGTTATTTTCCTTTGGACCACACACGTGTTGCACATAGAATGGTGGAAAGAGAATTTTCGTTTCAAATAAGTATTCCCATATTCAAAGGCTTAGCTAGGACTTACAGTTCCGTCTTACATATATGCTTATTACGAAACTTATGTGGGTGTGACATTGTTGAATGTTGATGAATCGTACTGCCTCACGAATAATTATTTTTTAAAATTCAAAGAGATTGAATTTCATCGATAAAGAAAAATATTACAAATACGAGGAATGCGAAAAGTAAAACCTTATTCCATAAAAAAATCTTAAAGAAGAAAAATCCGGTCAAAGAAAAAGGAGCTTGCCAATGCTTTTTTAAGCTAATTAAAAAAAATTAAGATTTCACTATAAAACTAATTAGCAGTATGGGAATAACTCAATTATTATAAGCATATGCAAAGTCTATTCTTTTTCCAATGCAGGATTCATACTTTCAACACGCTCCTTCATGTGTGCACGTGGATAATACAAATCTGATGACGTGGAACATGTATGCTGTTTAACTTTATACAAAAGACAATTTACTCTAATACCATAAAGAAAATTAAGCTGATTCGCCCTCTCTTACTATCAACATCACTTGTATAAGAAAAAAAAAAAAATTAATTAGCTAATGAACCATTCTGTGGTTTCTTTACAATTGGACTTACCTCACACCGGCCAGTTCAATTGCAAACCCAATGACCAAAAAGAAAAAAAAATTGGCTGGGACCAAAATGTAATGGGCTTTTACGTGTAAGCCCATTGAGGCAGTTGTAATGATTATGGGCTCACCTCATTTTGTCTTGTGCTTCAAACAGCTCATTCATTTGGACAAAAGGGGCTGCTAGTTCAGAATAGATTCAACTTGCTACTTGTAGATTGTAGGAGTTCTCACTTGGCCTGCTTTAATGGTAGTCTTTACGTTTTCCCTTTCACTAGTATGATGGGTGATAGAATTTTTACCACCTACAAAAGTAAGGATAAAAACACATAAAATACTTGTAAGAATACAATGATGTTGTAGTATAGATGATCATGCAAGGTCGTTCTCCTCAATGACTATTTGGATAATTTATGCAAAATAATTCCTAATTAAATGCTTAAAATTAAAAGGTGAGAAAAGAGATTTTAGACTTGAGTAATATTAAAAACGAATTTTAATTAAAAAAATGATAAAAGAAAAGAGTTTTAAATACCAATTTATAAAAACACTAGGGTTCCACCATCACCTAGCAATCCTATGTATTTTTATCAATTACTTATTCATGCTAAGGCTCAAGGCTTCGTCCTAGCAAAAGGAATTAGTTACGCATATTCATAATTGAAATCATAGAAAATATTATTAAGAATAAAAGGAATGAAAACACCTTAAAGCATAAAATCTTCAAGAACCCTAGCAATTACTCTTTGTCTCCGAAGTTGCATAAAAGAAAGTGTACCTAAGACTAAGAATGGCAAAGCAATATATTTGCTGAGCCATCGCACAAACCCTAAGACATAGGTTTCTTATTCCAACTAGGAAACTAAATAATAATAAAATATCTTAGAAAATAAAGTCCTAATTAAACTAGGAGAATTTGTACAGAAACTGTCCAGCCACAGTTTTAGCTTTAAATCTCCTCTAAATCTGGCCCATAATAGCTTGTTTTGAAGATCAGGACGTTCTGAACACATCTCCAAAAGGCCACGAATCCATCTGAGATAATCTTGGGCTCCAAAAACTCAAGTCAAGCCCAAACCGTCACTATTCCAGCACTGCACATTGCTCCTTTATTTTATTGCCAGAAAATCATCGTTTGGTAGAAAAATCTGATATTTTGATATGATCAAGCCAAGTGACTCATGATTGTCCTCCAATTGGGATTACTCCACAATTCGTCCATTTGACCATGTTTTGCTCTAGAAGAAGTCGAAAGTCTTATATTGGAAATACAATTCAAAGTATCAAAATTCTTCCAAAATATTAACCAAAATATACTAAGAATAGGGTAAAATATATAATATGAAATTGACTCATCAATGGGGAAGGAAGGGACTCTAGAAGTACTACTAATGGAGTTCAGGAAATGAACAATATCACTTTTTTCATCTACAAAATATTTTCCGACCTATTTACGGAATTTCATTCTTATCAGTTATCATCGGAAATGTTAATATTCGAAATTACTTTGTAAATATCATTTTTCCAAAAAATTAGAAAAATATAGCATTGTTTAGTCTAAAGTTTGAACTGTATAAAAACAGCCAATCGGAAGTAGCGAAAGCATTATGAACCATATATTCTCTGATACAGTTTGTTCATTGAATGATATTTTTTGTAGAGATAACTTTTACATAATAATTTATAATATGAACGATTCCGATCACAAACACGAAGGTCTATAAAGCAACAAAGTATTTTTTAAAGTCTTTGAGGAGCCAAACTTTATTCTTGAGGAAATTCTTGAATAGTTTGACTTCGATGAGGAAATATTTCAATTTGTTTTCGTGTTTAGTGCGTTAGCGAATATAAAATCAATTTGGAATAACCTTGACCAATTCTTTTAGATTTTCCGTCGATAGTTTCAAACCATGGCAATGGCCTTTCAGACTGTTTTTGCCGACTTAGGCAGCTTCTAGAATATAAATTTGTAATTAAACAAAAAAATATGACGATCTAATTTGTCATTCAAATTTAGATAGTACAAGCACGGAGATTCGAATTTGGAAAGAAGAGTGGCACGAGATCTACTACAACTAGCTAGTGAACTAGTTACTGTATTTATTTTGCGTTTTCTTGAGTTGGGTATGTGTTAGGGAATAGTGAGTTTTAGTTTGATAGTTTTGGTGACATTGTGATGAGAGAAGGGACAATAATGCAATATAAGTCGACTTGCAAGATTTGGTTAGTTATATATGTACCTTCTTTTTGGTTTGGAGAAATTTAGGAGAAGCAAAGAGGGAATAAGAAAACTAGGTATGTATAGCCTATTAATTCGACTATGACTCGTTGCTCGTTTACATTTTTTTTTCCTTTTCCAAACAACGTGTCCTTAAAACTCAAATCACAACCATGTGAAGGTGTCAGGCGGCTAGCGACAATTTTTCCATTGACGCTAAGTAAACAATTGAATAATCGCGTGGGCTTCTCAACTATTGTCACGAAAAAAGAAAAAAAAAAAAACCAAATTAAAGAAAAAAAATCTTTAATATCTAATAACCGACTATGATCACAAAACTTGTAGATCAAGTAAACTTTTTTCTTGTGATTTGAGATGTAAGTTCAAATAAAATTAGTTACTTTCACATTCAAAAATTTTGTAGTCAATTATCCAAAGCTGAAGAGAAAAATACGAATTATATCCACATAAATTTCACTCTCCCCAACAATTATTTGATAAAACTCACGTCAAAAAATGTGTCCCAAGATTTCCTCTCATCTTTATCCTAAAAGAGCTGCCCTCCTCTTCAGATTTGAGTCAAAATCTAACCTCCTTGGAGCCCAAGACCCCCTTCACTTTGACAAATTGGCAGGCAAAGTTTGACTTGATGTAATTAAGTAATTAATTTGGCTTGTAAAAGACATTTCACATGCTAATCTCGCTTTCCTTAAATGCCCCCATCAATAAGCAAACATCAAATCTTCTGCACCTATTGTTTGTGCAATATTTTTGTAATCTTTATCATTGATTGATGCAGGACGGATACAAAAAATTTGAACTCTGATGTCGTGCTACTTAATTTTACTTAATTACTTCCACAATTAATCAACCCTGCCCCTCAAATTAAACCCATATTTTCTATATACTTATGTCAAAAATTGTTTGCAAGACATTTTAGCTTAATGATAAGACATGGGACTAATCGCTAATAACCTATCAACATGACCAAACCGAC